AATGAGGCCCGAATGCTTTGCACGGCTCTGGAATCTGGACGAGACCGCTGTGGCCCAGAGGACGCGCACACACAGACTGTGACCGGGCCGGACACCAAGGAGGTCGTCCTCCGGAAGCGCTCTGAGCATCTGGGGGTGAAGCCCGAGCACCCGGCTAGCATGCCCAGCTGCCCTTAGGTCTGCCTGCTCAAGGCCGTGCGAGCAGAGTGCGAATGGAGGGACGGACCCGGGCAGCAGGGAGGAGCCCCGCTGAAATCCAGCATGGACTTGCCTGCCGAGACCAGAGCCCGGGCACCACCCCTGCCTGCAGAGCCCCTTTCTGTTCTGCAAGAAAGACCAACCATCTGTGATGCAACTGCCCAATTCCAGCTACCACACACCTCCTCCAGGAGTTCTGAACAGTTACGGATGTGCCCAACCCTCTGTCCTGTGTGTGTTCCTCATAGAGCCAGCGCACCCGATGCCTGTGCTGTGCCCGCCGAGCTGAGCACCAGGCCAAGGGCGCAGGCAGGAGCCGTGGCTGCCCGGCCGTCCGGCCCGAGTTCACGCGACATCTCCGCCGGCTCCTCCTCAGCAGGGACCACGGACAAGTCCCCTCTTCACAGGTCTGGATCACTTTCCTAACCTCCTGTCCTGGGACCAGGCAATTATTTTCCCTCTGAATGGTGTCGACACCAATTATGAGAACGTGTCCCCCAGAACAGCTTTCCCCTCCTTTGCCTCCGCTCCCCAGATCCTCACCCACCCTCTGCCCAGCGGCCACGGTTTGGCCCGTGTTCTGTGTTGCACACCAGGCAAGTGTGTCCCCAGGCAGGCAGCAGCAGGACACGCTCCAGTGCCCCCTGTCCTGAACTTCTACCTGCACGGTGCCCCATCCGGGGCGGAAACCTCGAGACTTCCAGGCACTGGAGGGCCCCTAGCTTCGCGTGACCTGCCTGGGGCTGTGGGTACCAGCTGTGACCTCAGGGCAGGTGGTGGCATCCACACACCCTCTGTCCTTGTAGCACTGAGCGAGCGAATCAGGTCCCTGCCCTGCTCACGCCCCTGCCCTCCTCACAGAGTAGACATTTTTCAAACAGTCAGACCAGTTTCCTACCTGACACCCACCTGCTAGGGCTGACACAGGAGCGTGTGCACAGAACTAACACCAAGGGGCTCGATAAAGGAGAGAGCCCGTTCGACTTCAACAGTATCAGAGCATTATTAGCCGGCATCACCATGGCAGGGACGCTCCATCTCTTTGGCCACTTAGAACCTATTTCATTGCAAATTGGGATGGAGCTGGTTTAAGGCACCAAATTAATTATTTCTGAATTATAATATTTAACTTCAGATTGAGTGGGAGGGAGAGATGGAGGGAGAGAGAGAGAGAAACATCGACTGGTTGCCACCCACATGACCCCAACCGGGGCAGGGACAAACTGCAACCGAGGTACGTGCCCTTCGTGGGAACCGAACCTGGGACTCTCTGGTCCACAGGCTGACGCTCTACCCGCTGAGCCAAACCGGCCAGAGATGAACTATAATATTTAAAATAAAATCACGCAGCCTGGACGGTGGCTCAGTGGTTGAGCATCGACCCGTGCGCCAAGAGGCCACTGGTTCAATTCCCGATCAGGACATATGCCAAGGTTGTAGGCCGAATCCTCATTGGGGGGCATGCAGGAGGTGGTCAATCCATGTTCTCTCTCAGTGATGTTTCTATCTCTCTCTTCCTCTCCCTTCCTTTCTCCAAAATTAACAAATAAAAAAGTAATTTTTTAAAAAAGAAAACCATACAGCCCAGCCAGTGTGGCTCAGTGGTTTGAGCATCATCCCATGGACTGAGAGGTCCCAGTTCGATTCCTGGTCAGGGCACATGCCTGGGTTGCAGGCTTGATCCCCAGTACAGGGGGGTGCAGGAGGCAGCCAACTGATGTTTCTCTGTCACATGGATGTTTTTCTGTCTCCCTTCCTCTCTCTCTAAAAAACTGATAAAAACATGTAAATAAATAACATAAATCAAATAACACCATGCATACAAAGAGACACTGGAAAGAAGAAAAACACCCTTCCAGGACTCAGATGAGTTAACTGCTAAAAATGAACCCGAAACTTCGCTTTGTGTTTTCTGACGGCCGAAGCGGAAAGACGGTAGCGTTAGCTTATGCGGCACTCATGGTCTGATAAACGCAATGTGTCCCCCACACGGAAAGGGAATTTCCTCCTGACACTGGGATCTAAGGATAACGGCTCACACTGATCGTCACGTCAGAAACCCTGGGTACCTGGCGGAGGAGCTGCACTGCGCACGCCCATGCGAGCCCCTGGGGACTGTTTAAGGGTGCACAGAGGGATACTCTTTCCTTTCCTAAACTTTCACCGAGGGATTTTCTTGGCGGGCATGGACCAGGCTGGGGTCCCCTGAGAACACCAGCTCATCCTTAGTTCACAGGTCCTGAGGCGTGTGGGGTTCAGCGGCTCCACTCCACTCCAAAACACGGGCCAGCTTCCGAGCTGGGTGTCTGTGAAGCAGCCGGGCAGCAGCACCCCTGAGAGCGAGGGCTTGCCTAGACCTTCCCAGGCCCCCCCATGGCCCTGCCTGCTGATGCGAGCCCAGCGCACCAGAGCGACTGGGAATGCAGCGGCTGTGCCTTCATCCTCGGGCCGCCTCCTTCCCAAGGCTTGGAAGTAATCAGAGACAACAGACTCCCCGGGGAAAACCGCAGTCACCTAACAAGGGGCAGGGCCGAAGGCTAGCAGGATTTATTGGCTTTGATTATGTAACAATAAGGTGTTTGTTTTTGTAGGTAATTAGAGTTCGACAGCAAGCTATAAAGAGTCCGCGAAGAAATTCTAAACAGACTGTAGCTAAAGGCTGACTCCGGCCCGACTGAATCTCTCCATTCATCTGTGCAGGCCCCCTGGGCCAAGTCGCCAGTCTCTGATGCTGCACAGTGGTCCACAGGTCAGCGGGCAGAAGAGGGCCCCCTGTGTTCCCAGTGTCCAGGGGGAGAGGCCTCTGGGCCGCACGTGGGGGATCCCACGCGGGGGCGCTCAGCTCGCCTGTGTGTGCCCTGGTGCTGGACGCTACCGTGGGGCAACGCAACCCGTGTGCCTTTTCAGAGGCCCCCAGCGAACTGCATGCTGGGAAGAGTCTGGACAGCTCTGCACTTCACAGCCATCGGGGAGCTGATTCTGAGGAACCAAGGCGCTGGAGGGGGGGGGGGGGGCTTTGATAGCGAGCAGATGCCTGCCGAAGCCGTATCAATGGATGTTTTCCTTCCAGCACCCACCCTTGGGAACGGGGTTGCTCATAACCAATCGCAGATATCAAAACCAGTTTGATTCTAATTCATTTAAAAATTATTTTCTGGTAGGAGAGGCAAGAAGGGGCCACGTGCGGTCACCAGTTTTTTAAAAAATCCTGTCGCGCCCTGGCCGGTTTGGCTCAGCGGTGAGAGCGTCAGCCTGAGGACCAAGGAGTCGCAGGTTCGATTCCGGCCAAGGACACAGACCTCGGTGGCGGTTCGTGCCCGGTCCTGGTCGGGTCGTGCAGGAGGCAACCAGTCAACGCGGCTCTATCACATCGATCTTTCTCTCTGTCTCTCTCTCTCCCTTCCTCCCACTCTATCTAATGAGAAATGGAAAAATATCCTCGGGTGAGGAATAAAAATTAAAAAAAATGTGTCTCTGTCACAATGGAATAACTGTATAGAGACAACGGCTCATCTTCCTTCTCTTGGCCAGGAACCTGTTGGTCCTCCTAATCCCAGGAAACATTCACAAGATTATTTTCACACACTGTACTCACATCATGATAACCAGCAGGTACAGAACAGTCAGCTACCAAACCGAACACAGAGGTGAAAAAATTAAAGTGGGACCAGGTAACCAAAGAAAAATAAGGAAGAAACAAAGCCACAGGTGTGGCTCACACCAGAGGAAAACCCTTTTCCTAATACATCGGTTTCACTCTTGCAAAAGCTTGAGTTTATATTTCGGGTCCCAAGCATCTTACCGTGTAGGTCATTAGAAAACTTTTACCGTATATTCCTCCCCAGCCAAGAACTAGATTTACACTGAATTTTGTCCCGTTCAAGCCAAAATAAATTTTCCCATTATTTTTCGTGCTCTGCCCTCCTCAATGTATTTATTTTTTAAGTTCTTGGGCAGTTGTATCACAATTTTCCTCCAGAGAAACATAAAAAACACCTGCTCCAGGATCAAGTGCCAACCCTCTCTGCCACCTGAGACGGCTTGCAGGTGACCTTGACCTTGGGCCGGCCACTCGACCCCTCTGACCTTCTGTGTCCTCATCTGAAAGGCCAGGAGGCTGCCTCAGTGTCCGCCTTGGGGCTCTAGGGGCCTGTGGTTCTTTTCTCCTAAAGGGGAGAATTTCACAGGCAGGAGGCGGCTGCTGTTCGTGGTTTAAAACGAAGACACTGCCCTGGCCGGTTTGGCTCAGCGGTTAGAGCGTTGGCCTGCGGTCCTGAGAGACCCGGGTTCGGTTCCCGCTAAGGGCACGTACCTCGGTTGCAGTTTGTCCCCGGCTCTGGTCAGTCGTGCGGGTGGCAGCCACTCGATGTGTCCCTTCACGTCGATGTTTCTCTCTCTCTCTCTCTGTTCCTCTCTCTCCCTTCCACTCTACCTGAACAAAAAATGGAAAAATGTCCTCGGGTGAGGATAACAAAAAAAATAAATAAAATTAAAAAAAAATAAAACGAAGACACTGACGTTCAGATAGCTGGGCCTCGAAACTGGCTGAAAAGTAAACAGGAAGCCAACGGACCAGAATAAAGCAATCCCGCTACTGAATGCTACGCTGAGAGAGAAGAACCTTCCCATCACTACGGGGAATTTCCGGAGTCAGTGTTTCCGCCCGGCCTGTCTGCAGGGTGATCGGGGTCCCCGCGGGGGAGAGGCAGAGCCACTGAGCAGCCCTGCCTCCGAATGCACAGACCCCCGTGCGGAGAGACGTGCTCGGAAAGGAATTCAGCCGGGCAGCGCCTGCTACTTACTTGTGGCCCAGCTCGTGGGCGATGGTGAAGGCCAGGTTGAGCCCATTATCTTCGGCCAGCACGCACTTCCTCTTCGAACTGCACACGCCGCCTAAGTAAGCAATTCCTGCAGCGGAGACAAACACATCCGCCTCAGAACGCGGGCGGCCCGACCTCGCCCGGAGGTCCCGCGGGCGCACGTCACGCACAGTCCGGCAGGGGTGAGCTGCGGTGACGGTGAGCACGGGCCGCACCTGCCGTTCGGAGGGGGTCAGCGGCATGCGCTGGCCTCATCAGAGCAAAGGCCACCGAGGCCCATCAGGCATCTCGTAGGCGTCAGTCGTGTGCTGAGCAGCTTGCTCGCTCTCTCTGCTTTAGTCCTCGTCGCCGAGGGCGGCAGGGACAGAGGGAAACTGAGGTTCAAGGAGGAAAGGGAACTTTCTCAAAGTCCGCGGCATTGGCTCCGGGTGCTGGGAGGCTGTCCGACTGCAGGCCAGCAGGTCGGCACCACGTGCAAATGTGAGGAGGGGCCCCTCTGAAAGCTGACCTTGAGCTTGCGTGTCCCCCAGAGGGAGGACGCGCTTCCCGGAGCTCTGAGCCCTGGGCGGGACCTTCCCTCACCAAGTCCTGGCCCTCTTCGGCTCAGTGTTCTCGGGGTGTGGGCCTGGATGCAGGCTGGGGCTAAGCACAAAGAGCAGGCTGTGTAAAAGGTTCCCCAAATGCTCAGGGGAGACAGACACAACCGGGACCCGGAGGGAGCAAGAGAAGGCTGCGAGCAAGGGCCTGGAAGTCATCCGTGAGGGGGAGCCCACCGCCCACTCGCCCACCTCCGCGCACACCTGCCCGGGGCCCGGAGACCCTCCCTGGAGCAGGGAACGGAACCGGTGCAAGCAGGAGGGACGGATGCGGGTGGTGAGGGCCAGGGCTGAGGGCAGAGGCCCGGAGGCTGCCAGGCCTGGAGGACAGGTGGTTTTCCAGGGGTGAGGGGCTCATCGGGCGGAGGCATGTGTGTCACCCACACGGGGGCCCTGGACCGACGAGGACACGTCAGAGGAATGCGGCACAGCCAGCCCTGCACCAGCCAGGGCTCCCACCGACTCTCCGGGGTTGGCACTGCTTCCTCTGAGCTTCTGCCCCACGGACGAGCAACCCTCGCCACCAAAGGGCTTATCTCAAGGAAGTCCGTGAACCCCGACCCCACTGGGGTTTGGGGTACCAAGGAGGGGAAACCTCTGACTCCCCAGCACAGTCTGTGGGAACAATGAGCCACGCCGGCGGTGGCCCCGGGTGGCTGGTGGCTCAGTGCTCCTCCTGCTATGAGGTCAGAGGGGTGTGCAGCAGGCGGGGGCTCTGCCAGCCCAGCCCTGTGCCGGGAGGGGCTGTGGCCACCGCTCCAGGGGTGCCTGTCCCACCACCCAGCGGCACACTGCCCTGGCCGGAGGCCCCTGCATGAACGTGCACAAGGTGTCTGAGGACCTGGCGGTGACCTCGAAGGCACGGGGAACGCAGAGGGAAGGAACTGGCCGAGGTGAGCAGGACGGGGTGAACTAACTAATTAAAACGAACCTCCCTCCTTGCTCCCGAACAGCTAAATCAACATGTTCTTTGTTGACATCAATTTCAAACTGGGGCGGACCTCAGCCACACACAAGGCACTCCTCCTGCACGACCCTGAGCCCCTGCAACAGGCCCAGGCGGAGCGCAGGAGCTCCCCGCCCCCCACCCCCGCTCTGCACCGAGCTGGGACCTGGGGGCCGGCTCACACTGGGCACACTGAGCTGGGCACCACACCGTGTCTATTTTCATCCAGAAACAAGCAAGACGCTTGGCCGAGGATGAAGAACTATTTGAAGAAAGGGGGGGAAAAATGTGTTTTTGGCCTCACGATGCTCTTCTGCACGTGGACAGCATAGCCCAGCCATGCAGACGACTGGAAGGAGAAACAAGGCATCCGGAAAGGGTGCGACCGGGTCTCTCGGTGCCTTCAAGGTCATCGCTCTGGTTCTGTTTAAAATATGCTTTGTGGGCTGTTGCAAAGCGTCCAGCAGTCAGTCAGCGGAACGCTCCCACACAGCCCCGCGGGTGTGCACGTGCCGTGTGCGCACACCCACACTCAAACCCACACCAGCAGTACCCCCCGAGCGGGGCCCAGCCTCCTGCGCCCATAAATCAATTACAAACACTCCGATGAGCCCTCCCGGGGGAAGTCGTCCGGTGAGGGGTAAAGAGACAGCCAAGGCCAGCTGGGCTGACCTTGCTGTCCCGAGAGTGTCTGCTGCCCCGCAGACTTTATATGCCGCACAGACATGTCCCCGGCCTCTGTCACACTCGGCGCCCGGAGCGGGCAGTTCCGAGTTTCCACTGTGATTAGGTAACACACAACGCTGAGGAAACAGCTAAGCAGAGAGCCTTCCAATAATTGCATTTTAATTTTTCCAAGGCACAGATGATTTTTTGAAAGCTAGAAACAAAGGATCAGTTTATTTACCAAAAAAAAAAAAAAAAATGCTCTCACACTAGGCTGGACGCGGGTCCAGTGCTGTTGGATGATTCCCTCCAGTCGTGACCAGCCTGGTCTCAGAGCCGAGCGACGCAAAGTGCAGAAAAGAGGAAGGAACAGGCCCAGACACCAGAGCACACGACCCCTGAGTACATACGTGAGCGTTACTGTGTAAAGGGCCTGAACACCAGAGCACATGGCAGCCGAGTCCATACGTGAGCCATTGCATGGAAAGGGCCCGGACACCAGAGCACACGGCCCCCAAGTGCATACGTGAGCCATGGCGTGCAAAGGGCCCGGACACCAGAGCACACAGCCCCCGAGTGCATACGTGAGCCATGGCCTGGAAAGGGCCCGGACACCAGAGCACACGGCCCCCAAGTGCATACGTGAGCCATGGCGTGCAAAGGGCCCGGACACCAGAGCACACGGCCCCCGAGCGCATACATGAGCGAAGGTGCAGACACGTGTAGAACTCCCACAGCCAAGTCTGGAGAAAACCCCAGGTTGTTGTAAAAGTAAGAGCTGCAGGAAATAAATGGCAATGAAGCCACGAGCTTCGGTGGGAAACAAAGGTCACTGTTCCGTGTTTGCTGGAAAGAAACAGCCCGGCTGGAGGGGGCAGAGCCGGAGGCCGGAGACACCCCATCACCTCCAGCTGCGCAGGCGCCAACCAGCGAACACCCACCCGACCCCCACATCGGAGCTTCTCGAGGAAAGAGGAAAGCCCAGTTTTCCTGATTTCTTTCATGAAAAAGTGAAATCTGCAAACCAGGCTGGTCACGACTGTTCTCTGAGTTTGAAATCTGCAAACTCCGGCTGGAGCTGTGGGACCTGAGGGTCCCTCCGAGGTAACTGGGATTCACTACACAGACGGCCGGGGCTTCTTAGACCCCACGGTGGTGCTTTCAATGGTTTCCGTCTTCCATGATCTAAAATTTTCCCGGGAGAAATCATAGCAGAATCTATTTCTGAAATTTTACAAACATCAAGCCCACATGCTTGCGGAGCTCCTTGGAACACGGGGGGAAACAGGGGGGAACTAGCATCTACTCGGGTCCTGTCCATGGGCACCCGTTGTTCAAATGCTTGGCCCTCCCTTCCTTGGCAAGTTCCATGGCTCCATTTCACAGACGGGGAAATGAAGGCTCAGTACCAGACTCAGATATAAAGGCAGGGCTCTCCTCAAACACACACACTCCACCAGGCGAACCCTGGGCCTCCCTCACCAACGTTCTGATAACCAACAGCAACGAATAATCTTCGAGGACTTAGGAGATTTCCCTAAATCTTAATGTGTTTATACAGAGAGGTGGGTGGGATACAGTGAAGCTTCCACATGGTTAAGTCCAAATGTTTTTAATCCTACAGATAAAAAGACTCAAGGGATGATGCAATAATATTAACAGCGGTTACCTCCAAGACATGGTGAAGTCATTATAGATTCTTTTATTTCCTTTTTCTTCTTCTTTTTTGGGGGGGGGCGGGGGGATTAAACCTAATATAATGAATACGTACTTGTTAGGAAAACTAAAATTACTGATTATATTTCATTTATCCCAGGTGACACTTAGCAGAGGCAGAAGGAGGAACACCAAAAAACGAAAAAAAAAATCATAATCCTCCGGATTTTGAGGCTGGTATGAAGGAAGCTCACAGTCCACACACGCTGAGGGTGTGCTTACATCCTGGTCCCAGCTCTACCACACCCTGGCACAGATTCAGGAAGCAAAACATATTTTTAAAATCTGAAATGCTGCCCTGGCCGGTGTAGTTCAGTGGTTAGAGCATCAACCTGCACACTGAAAGGTCACAGGCTCAATTCCCGGTCAAGGGCACGTACCCGGGTTGCAGGTCTGCTCTCTGGCCCTGGTCAGGGCGCGTGCAGGAGGCAACCAATTGATGTGTCTCTTTCACATCGATGTTTCACTCTCTCTTTCTCTCTCTCTCTCCTCCTCCCTCCCTCTCTCCCTTTCACTCTCTCTAAAAATCAATGGACGAATATCCTCAGGTGAGGATTCACAACAAAAATATCTGCAATGCTGAGGACAGAAATGAAGGGCTGGAGAGAGGTTTTCTGATGCCTGGAGAAGCACAGTTAATCCATCCAGAACGCAGACAACATCCCCAGAGCGCCAACCCGTCTCCAGCCTTGAGGACACCCACCTTCCTCCCGTCTTTTCTGTTTCTTGGGAGGAGAACAATTTCGGTGAGGAAATCGGGTGAGTAGGGCTCATTATTTTCTTCTTCAGTAGAAAACGGCATGGTGTAAGCATGTAATTCTCAAACTCGGACTTGACCATGCGATGCCCGATCGAAGGAGAAAACACCGTACGGCAGTGTTAGCGCTGGTTGAGCCAGCAAACGGCCCTGGGTAAACAGTCCCGGCTGTTGGCCCCATCACGCGGGCCTTCTTGGGCTCAAGGTACCAGCGCCATCGTGGTCATCACGGGGCACCATGTGCTAAGTACCAGAAAGTAACTTACATGTTTTCCCTGGCAACCACAGTGGTGGTGATCAGTCGCATGGCCGGGCTCATTCGAAAGGCCTGTGCCCCTGTCAACCTCACTAAGTGGATGAGGTGCAATTGAAATGTGTGAACCACCATTGAAAGCAAGTACCTTGCC